CGAGCTGCTTCTGTCAGTTACATGGAGACAATCGTAATCCACAAATACTGCTGAGCAGAGTTCTGGGAGTAGAAGGTCTGAGCACAGCACAATTCTGGACTGCAATGCAGCAAAACATGACCGGTGTATAGACATAGCCCGATCCATTTTATATACAGAACCATTTTATATTTATTTATTATACATGGTGTATATATCCTATATGAAGTAACTGAAATGATATATATAATATATGATATACAAATATATATTTGGAAGAAAAAGATTTGTGTGCTTTCTTATGTTTAGCTTTGTATGACAGTAAACTTTTATTTAAATTTTTCTGGTTGTTTTTGACCTCTGATGTAACCCATCTTCTTCTATATGGTCTCTGACCTCTGATGTAACCCATCTTCCTATATATGGTCTTGGTGTTATGTTTTTGGTTTGCTACATGCAATTGTTCTTACTCGAAGTCTAGAGCTGCAGCTAACGATTATTTTCAAAATCGATTAGTTAGCCGATTATTACGTTCGATTAATCGGATAAAATAAAATACATTTTAAAAAATGGCTCCAGTGATAGGACTACTAGTTTGTATTGAGATTGTAGTCCATAACAGGAGCAAGCATGGAGCGGTGGAAGTAAAAAAGAAAAAAGTGTGGTGTGCAATATAGTGAAATGAAAAGTGTAAAATTTATACAGCAATGAATGCAGAATACCACCTGCTATAGAGGACTACAAAACCCAGCAATACATTTATACATACAGTGTATGATGTATTGCTGGGATTTGTAGTCCTCTACAGCTGATGGTACATTGTGCTGTATATTATACCATCAGCTATAGAGGAATACAAATCCCAGCAATACATTATAGAGCACCATGTGTGGGAAAGTGCACGCTTACCTGAGCAGTCTTCCAGCAACTTGCTTCTGAGATCGGGCCTGTCTATCGGCGGCTGTCATCCCCCCACACCTGCTCCTCCTTACTTCTCCCCGCGTCCCTGTGCCGATCGTAGATGTGGGCGGGCGGTGAGGAGGTGCGGCGTGTGGATCGTGGATGCGGGCGGGTCTGGCAGCAGCAAGCGTGAGGTGGGGAGGAGGTTCGGCGCGCAGTGTGTGTGGAGCTGTGAACAGGGTCAACTAATTGGAAGCCGATTAATCGATGATTATTGAAAAAGTTGACAACTTTTTCAATAATCGATTTATAATCGATTATGTCGATTTTAGTTGTTGCAGCCCTATCGAAGTCACTTTTCTCCTCCTCCCCAACCCTTGCAATGGGGCTACCCCCGCACTTCAAGGGTTAAGTGTGTCTAAAAGAGCTAAAATACCAACTACTCACCAATACCACAATCCTGGCTGGCTCTTAGATTGGTCCCTTCAGCCTCTCCTCCCCTCCAGCGGTCTAAAGGTCTTGTGAGTTAGTGTATAAAACATGACACGGGGGGACATACCAATGCTGGAGTGGAGGATGAAACAAGCACTTAACCCTTGTAGTGGGGCTACCCCTGCCCTGCCAGGGTTAAGATTTGATTTGCCCCGGAGCTCTTCTTAAAGCCGGTCACACATCAGAATCTGTACAAATCCACTTTGTATTGTGAGTCCTACTGATCAGATGCAGACTGAATTGTAGGGAAATGTAAAGGAGACGTACCCTGGGTAGCCAGAGAAACATGCACTTCCTCTGTGGTCTGGTCATGTATTGGACGGAGTGGGAAATGAAATGGCTGCAGGCTAAAGTATTCATTTTACAAGCATGAAATATTCCTTGTGTGACCAAACCATTAGGACGGAGCGCCGTGGGAGGTTCTCGGTGTGGAATGTGGCAGGAGCAAGTTCCTTCATCTACCACTGACACTGAGATGATGTAGCTGCCATCAGAATGAAGGATAGAAAGCACCCGGACTGAGGTATTACCGCTCCCTTCAATCATCCCGGTCCCATGGCTTCAGTGCTGAGTTACTGATCCCAGAACAAGTCGGCAGATTTCTGCCTTCTGGGGGGTCATTCTTTCCAGAATACTGAACCCAATGGACCAGAAATGCCTTCTGGCTTGCTGTCTGTCTCTGTGACTGACCTGGAAGCAGTCAGACTTTCCTGATCTTCATGTGTATGATGGGGTCAGTGTCTGAAAGTATTAACACCAGAGACCAGTCAGTAACCAGGCTTTTCTAAAGGAGGTCAACAATGGCAGCCTCCATGTTTCCCCCTTTAATGCAGAACTACAGGAAGGATTGTTTTTGCAAACTTGCATTGGTCCGGCTTGGCTCAATGTAAGTATCCATATCGGATACCTGGAAGGCCACCTGGAGATGCTGAAAGATCATATAGTAGTCTGTGTTCCATAGAGTGATGGTCGTAATCTTCCAGGTGATGCTCAAGCAACTTCCCCTCTGCACACTGAGCACAGGGAGTCCCTGCTTGGCACCATCACCATTCAGACAATGCCTTGTAATGTGTTCAGTGAATACAGGGTGTTCTCTGATTGGATGACATCACAATCTCCACCATGTCCACCTGGAGAACACAAGATGTCCTCTGGCTGTGGTGCAGAGAGGAAGTTGCTGGAGCCATAACCGGCTATTACTGAATGTAGTGTGGACTACTGCAGTGACTACCTTCAGCATCCCTGGCGGCCCTCTGGAGATCAGATACTTACATTGGCTCCAGCTTGGCTCAATGTAAGTTTGCAAAAAAGATCATTGCTGGGCTTCCACTTTAAAGTAAACCTGTCATTATCCTTGATGACCTTTGCTGAATGCTCCTCCAGAAGCACCCCCACAATGCAATGCCCCAAAATATTTGTGGGAAACGGTTTGGTGTGCCTCCTGGGGTTTAAGACATCATGGGAACAGCCAGAGCCTAGTAATGTCTATAGAGAGGTTAGTGACAGGTTCACTTTAAAGCACAGACCTGACATTGAAGGCCACAAATCTCCCTACAAGGGGGGAGTCTCAAGCAGACAATTCTACACAAATATCCGAATTCTGCGCACTATTTTATATTACAACAGAAGGCAGTCTAAGCCCCGCATTTAAAGTGATTGTCATGACAAGAGTATGGCGGTTGCCATTATTGGCCTATCGCTGGATAATGTGGGCTCCCTGGCTCCCATGACCAGAGATGAGGAATTCTGACACATGCGAGCTCTGGGTCTGACTCCAAAGTATGTAAGCCAAGCAACTTATACTTTGCTAGGACCAGCAATGGCAGCACCCATACTTTTCCTCATGACAGTCACTTTAAGGGCTTGACCATCTCTGCCAGCTTGACCATCTCTGCCAGCAACACATAAGTCTTGTAGCGCTCTCCTACCAATACTACAATGCAGCCGGGAACTTCCGATAAATAGTTTCTTTATTGCAATGATTGTTCAGCTGTAATAACCCCACAGAATAATAATAATATTTATTTCATCTTAGA